CTCATAGTGTAGACAACTGAGATCAATAACTCAATTCCCATTTCAATTGGAATTTGAGTGTTTATGGTTGTAATTTCTTGTTTCATTTCCTTGGCATTATCGTACTGATAGAACAGTTGACTTTTCTACCTTCATTCTGCTCATCAAAAAGCAGCCTGTCCCTTTTAATTGCAGTCGAGAAAAGAGAGGCACATCTTGACGAAAGGGAGGACGCCACGTCAATTGTGGGTCGGGGGGTGGAATAGTGTTGATAAATAGATAGACACACGGGTAAATAAGTACTCACAGGATGGCACCATCGAAGGGTAAGTGGGACTGGGCTGAAATGGACCCGACAAACTGGGCGGACATTTGAGACCACGCCGGATAGATAATTTCTTGCAGCAGATGACTGCATAAATATTCAATTCGAGTTTGACTTTCAAGTTAGTTTGCTCTGCATTTCGCACACCGCCTTCTTTTTTGCATAGAATTTCATTCAAGCTCTCATCTCGCGAACTGCAAAAACAACCACATGACGTTCACCTCTTGAACGCCCAAGTTCAAAACAGGATAATAGAGTTCAATGGCTAACTGTCACCGCAACAAAGGGGCTAACAGGAACGAGGGCATGATTATTGTCTAGCTAGACAAGCAAAGGATACCACCATGTTCACCACACGGCACGCCAATGGCAGGTCCAGATTGATTATTCGCAGAAGTGGACATGCGATCGTGTTCGACTTCCGCCCCATGTTGCCAACCTCAGAGAACAGGTTAATTTGCCAACTGTTCTGTCTCGCAAGCATCCCTTGTCATCCGTTCAGTTGACGATGAACCAGCTTCCATATTGATCGCCACTTTCCAAAACATGGCTAATAGTCTAGGGACGTCCGAGGATGGCAATGTATCGGAATTGTGTATCCGACTTCAATTTTTTGTTCGGACTGGTTTGGGGCGAAGGGTATGGCACCACCTATCGGGTCCGTTGTTGACGCACACGGGACGGGAGCAGGCGAGGTCCCAAGTCCATGTCACTGGGAAGAGGATAGAAGACGTCTAGAATTCCGTGCCCAGGTTTGCGGCCGAAAATGGAGGTTCCGATGACGTGTTGTCACACCTGACTATGCGGGTTAAAGGTTCAATGGCTACGGCTAACCCCTGTCCAACCTTAGGTCACACTTGAAGTAGAATTTATACCGACGAAAAACCTTTACGACACGGGACGAATATTAGGCTTTTCTGTATATCAAGAGTGGTCTAATAGCCCCAGTGAGATTGCTGATTCGCGATCACCAACCCCCAAGGCAATACCCAGGACGCATAGAAAGTGAGAACCGCCAGCTGTCATATCGTTAACCATGTGACTTTAGATTCGCCAATCATCCACCGTCATAATTGGGTGCATCCAAGAAATACTCCAGGGTGTGAGTTAACTCCACCTAGTTAACCATGCATACCACTTTGCCCCATTTGTAAGGGCGTAATTAACCATTGTCGCTTTAGTTTTATGGAGCCCTAAGAGAACGAATTCGGCTGATTGTAAAACGAGAATTGTCGGCGGTGATGGTATTGGGCGGGAAATAGACGGAAGTCGGGAAGGACTGACTGTACATGGCCATTAGATGCAAAAAGCAGTTGAGACCAGGATATTTCCGATGGTCAAATCCCTTGGTGTTTCTCCCAAGTTTAATGCAGGGCAAGGGTACGCACAATGAATAAGACTGCCAACAGACCTACAATGCCATGGTCTGCATCACCGGCATTGGCAAGAACCGTAGAGGAGAGCCGGCTTGATCCTCGGGTGTATATCTAAGCTCGATCCGTTTCGGCGTATAACAGTGTATGTGCGACGAAAGGGAGACGTTCCACATCAGTTTTCGATGTACTCAAACTTCAATTTCGAATATTTGTTGGTACCACTCGAGCATTAAGAAAATAGCATTCCAGCGTCAACCTTTGCTTTTCCCTCCAGCCCCGGATACTCATAATAGATCGGAAATATATTCCGGATTCAGACTAAGACCATGTACCAACATCCGTGTCTGTGATAGTGACAACAGCACATTAACTGACGCCAGATTGTGTCCCAGGAACCCAGAATCTGGAACCACGGAATTGGACGAATCTTTCCTTGAACTGACCACGTACCAAGGGAGAGAATTTCAAAATTACTCCTTGGAAAATAGCATTTATTTTGGGCCTGTTGACGATGTATGCGCGTAGTATCAACTGGCCCAACTATTGTTTTAGGTCATTGCTGACATGATCTAGGATGAAATAGAGAGGCTCGACTTACAACATCGAATTCTCAGCAAAGTTTTCGATAATCGATTGATCTTTCCTCCAGTGCACTCATTAAAGCGAGTTCTCGATTGCGGCTATGGGAACGGGGCTTGGGCTGTCGAAGTTGCCGAACAATATCCGTCTTGTGAAGTAAGCGCTGCTGTTGCCCTCAAAGTGACCTATGCTAACACCGCTTGAAGGTTATTGGAGTAGATATATCTCCCCATATGAAGCCGGATGACACTCCTGAGAACCTGTGGCTGCAGGTCAGTTTAACACAAATATTTCCGGGGGCCTCGTTTTGGTTTGGTTAATGTGGAATTTCTCCGCACTTCGAATCATATAATAGACACTGAGCACTCAGGGCCCAAAGCGGCGGGCATCCTAGCAGACATTTTCATACTACTCCAATTCTTGGATGATATTTTGATTGGCTAACTTCCAGTGTAACCAGGTTGATGACCTGAATCGAACGTTCACATTTCCACCAAACCATTTCGACCTTGTTCACTCGAGGCTTATCGCTTCTGGATTGCATCGACAGAGATGGCCGAGATATATTAGGGATATCAAAAGGTAAGTAGCTACCTTACGAGCACTTCGATATATAAACAAAACGATGCAAAACAGTTTGAAATGGGTGTTGCGCTGAGCAGAGCCGGCTGACAGATCAAATCATTCCCATTATTAGAACCCTGAGGCCTGGTGGCTGGGTACAGATGGCCGAAATGTATTTCAATGTCCAATCAGATAACGGTACAATCACGAATGATCACGCCTTGAGGCAGTGGAGTTCGAGATACGCTCGAAGCATCGAGGACGTTAAAGATCCTAGGGTTGCAATGAATTTGGGAAACCTCTTAACATCTGCCGGATTTGTCAATGTTGAAACGAAATTGATCAATATCCCATTAGCTGCATGGTCAAACGGTAAGCGTGTCCAAGGCCCGTTCGTGGAGCCAATATTCGTTGACACTCCTCAGATCCCAGGATGCGCGAGATAGGAAGTTTAAATAGACCCAATGTCTATCGTCTTTTTGGATCGTTGGCATTGTATCCGCTTATGAAGCGATTGCATATGTCTCGGGAAGAATTTGAGGTACTTGTAGCACAGGCTCGCATCGAGGTAGATAACCTCTCACTTAAAGCATACTTCCCGCTGTAAGTGTTCGAATTTTCTCGTATTTCTGCCTTGTCTGGTGTTCATCCATCTGACTGATGAGGCAGATACGTTTCCATCGGCCAAAAGCCGTAATCAGTAGGTACAGCTGCCGTCTGGATTGCTCACTGTAGCGTAATCCAGATCAAACTACCTAGGCGAAATTTGTTTGGTGTTGCCAGCCATGGCAATCTGGAGGCCATTGTTTGTTGTTTGGTGTGTGCATACGTCTGTTGACTGGACACTGGACAGGATGCTAAGGGTCCCCAAGCCATGAAGCCAAAAGAGTCTTCAAGTCTCTTACATGCTGCGAATGGATGTGATTTCAATTTCATCAGTATGTTTATGTCGCACAAATCTTGGTGTTGTTCAAAGTACAAAGAACAGGGGAGGGATATACCCATCAATTTCCTCCGTTATTAAAATCGTTGCAAATTTTACTTTTTCCCAAACTGATAATGACATATTTCGCATCAAATTGCATTTTTTTTACTTGAGATATTCCCAAAACTGGCAGGATAGTTTTGAGACATTCTTCCTTTCCGCCAAGATTCAACGTGGGACTCATAGCAAGCATCCGCGCCGTCCGTTGATATATCATGTAATGGGGCGACTGTCTCTACCAGAAAAGGAGAATATTCGAGAAGTTGAGGGAAAAGCTACCGTTTTGAAGTGTCTGAAGCTATCTTTCCAGCGTGAACCTTACTAACGTTAATAAACAGCACGATACGACAACCTAGCCCAAGGTAGAAGATACTCTTGCAATCCGTTGCAATAAGCATTTGAGGAAGACCACGGATAGCAAAAAGACCAAGCGGGTTGGCAGGTCCAGGATTTGGGAACGCTTAGGGGCCTAAAGGGCCTGTGTCATCGTCAGTTATACGACACTACGTCCCAGAACTATAATTGGAAGAGGGGGATGTTCACAGGTTTTTAATGGGTTCAGGTCAGAAATAGGTGATTGAAGAACTCATTCACAGCGATAGAAGGGTGATAGAACTTCATCAGGAAGGTTTTGTCGGAGGAGCCAATAGAAATCTTGGAGACGTCAATGGGGTTACTTCTTCATGGCCGAGGCGATAATCAACACCGACCTCTAAAGTTGAAGGTTTTCGAGGGCGAGCTGATGGAGGTAAAGTTAGAGGTGGCAGAGATGGTGAAAGTTAGATCAGGTTTCCCAGGGGCCGTGGCAGTTGCGTGCCCCTTTGGAGGTGTGACAGAACATTTCCTCCAACTGGACGTCCATATGATCAGACAACTAGGAGAGAGCAGGAACTGGTCACAGGCAGCCAGTTCTCTGACCATGGTCAGTGGAATTAATTGTTCTTCTTCACAGCCAGCAACCCATATAGGGAATGTTATGCGAAATTTACACCACTCCCAGTTGTAACTGGGGTTCGCGAATCTTGCCCCTCAATTGAATCCAATGAAATTGCAGTCCATGTCCTTGTTGGGACCAGCCGCGTACAGCCCGGTCTTCCAGCAGTAATGTCCTGTTCTTGGTTCAGTCCCGTTGTTTCTCATGAGGCCTGGTTGGCTCAACCAAAATAAGATCCTAACAGTGCTCAGCAATGACAGGCGAAGGCAATGACAGCGGTGAACTTGTGGTGCGCAAATAATATTCAGTCGTTTGTTTGCAGTAGTTATCGAGAAGGGCCCAAGCGCGCCATTTTATTCCAGCAGAGTACCGAACCCCAGATATCAGCAAGTCAAGTGCAATTCTTGAAATCTGGAGAAGATCTTTAATAACATGGGAAAGACGAAAAACCTTATAAGCACTATTTTATGTCAGTACAGATTACTGGGGCGGAGCCGCTGGAGATGGAAAAGCACCAGGACAGGCGATCATTATCCAATGCGGCGAATTCACTACGATGTTTTTATCTTTGAGATTCAGATTTTTAAAGAGATGAGATACTTGGGAGGGCATAATTCTTTGAGATCTTGATTCAATTTGGCAGCGAGTGGCCTGTTTTGGATTGGAAACAAGATCACCTCTGTTGAAGTAGCCTGGAACTAGTGAACCGAGGATCAGGGTAGGACGGGAAATGGGGAGCGATGGCGTCGCGCGGTGACTTTTGGCCCTGGATAGCTTACCCATTCACACGGCAGAGCACCTCTGACGGGTATCACCCTCATCAGTCCTACTCACATTGTTGGGACTCCCAGTATGAGGTTTCCTGCTTGCCCTGACTCTCAGTTCCTTGCACTGAGCCCCGGAGAAAAGCTTCGCCAGTACCATGGTTTAGGGCAGTTGTATTGAAATAGTGACACACAAAAGAACCAAATTGGTTTAATAACGTATCTATATACTTGCTAATGGTGGTATGTCACTCCGCAGACACAGAACTATACATTCAATCTTCCCGTTGAGATTTTTTATCTTTTCTGTCCTGGTGTTGTTTACCTCGACGTATGGGATTCAAAATTAGCGGGCGCTTGGGCGCTTACAAAGCGCCCAGGCTAGGATTAGACCCCAGAGTCGGGTTACCGTTTTACTATTTCAGTTTAGCCTCGACTCCACCTGCAGCCAACCCCCAAAAGGAGAAGAAAAAAACCTCACCAGCTTCCGGCGACAATTATTACTGGGCTTCATGCAACTTCAAACAAACAGCTGTCGCTACATATGAACATAGGCTGCAGCCAAAAATGCCCTCCACATATAAGAA